AAAAACCCAAAATCCCAAAAATATTCAAAATTCCAAAAATATTTAAAATTGAAATAAATCCATCAACGCAGTTAAAGCAAAATCCATCCGCCCTCCGCAACAGTTTGTCGAGGCGGACAAATTCAAATAAACTCTAGCTCACAAAGAGCCGAATGCCTAGTCGAAAATATCACTAGGATCCATTCTCAAACAATCTATTGCCAGTAAGGACGTGGTACGTGTCCTCTAACCGGCAGTTTCGCCGCCAAATGGCACTGCAGGTAAACGGTTATGACCCGGGGCCCTCTGAATCGAGTGGTTTTGCCGCCAAATGGCACCACAGATAGCGGTTATGGCCAGAGCCAGTACGCTCCTTAATGGCGTTAAATCCTTGAGATATGAATCAATAGGATATGATCGATAGGGCACAAAGCCCTCTGTTAGCTAAGGTTGATTCAAATTTGTCCCCTTAGACAAACATTCAACCCTGGTCTACAAGGTCCCCTTGGACGAAGCAACCCATGGCTGTCGACAAGGATCCTTCTATCAGGTTGGGTCAACTACCTCCTCTGACTAAGTAGACCAGGGACCACAATGGCCCGGGATGACGGAACCATGGGATCTTGATCGGGTCTATCATCCATTCCCCCACCATCCGCTTTAAGTGCTAGATGGTGAAATTTCTATTTTAAATATTAAATCTTTCCAAATATCAAATTCTCCAAATTCCCAAATCCAAATCCAGTTCTCAAATACCCAAACCTATGCTGCTACTATATGCCAGATACACGTATTTTCTACGTATCTGATCGACAACTAACCTTAATCGAAAGTTCTCTCTCGTGATCGGGAGGGGTAATTAACTATAGGGGCTTGCGCCTATAGGAAACCAGAACTCAGATCATAAAGTCCTCGCAAAATGAGGGCGAAATCTCTGGGTTGTGTCTTATCTACAAACCCATCTGCCTTCCAAAATTTACCTCGGAACTTAGTCAGTTAAAACTCCCACGCCGAATAAAAAAAGCGAGTGGAGGCCGGGGCCGAATTTTCGGAGCCCACAGGGGGTTCTACAATATTCAACTATGACTAATTTTTCAGGTGATGGTCATTTGGAAAATGTACAAGTTTTGTATTTAAGCCTTAAGGGTCTATAAATGCATTATGTCTGCTTGTATGAGTGTTGTGAATCAAGTGGCGTGGCGCCGCGCTTCATTTCTCCTTCTGCAAGCTATTATTTTCTTCGGTACTCAATTTATGAGTGTACTTCAATCTGCAAATACGTTGTACAACGCATCAGGAGCCTGGCGTCGCAAATCTGCTGCCTCAATTTATCAGTGGCCCGCAATTTTTACTACGAAATCCCTACTTTTCCTTACAGGTGAATTGTAGCGTGATGGTATAGGTCATTTGTTGTTTTATGCAGGTAAACTGTCATGCACTAATGAATATACTACCACTGCAACAGCTCGTAAGAGCTTGCATTTGTTGTAGTCTTGCATTTGCCCGTAGATGGCATTTTGAGTACACAACGAGTCTCCTACAATGACTCGTAGGTGTCTGCATTGGATGATGGTCTTTTGTATTTTTTTTTGCGGATAGTATGTTGCATGACATAATGGGTATGATCGACAGACAAGGTGTGGAAGTTGGTCCGGCTTCGACTGTGCAGCTTTGACAGTTGACGGGAAGCTGAGGATTGGAGCTCTCGTGTGCGGGAACCAGCCGAAGGCTCCCTCTCACCTTCTCTTTTATCAATCAAACATGAGTGCAATCGAGGCGAGCGTGAAGAGATCATTCAATACCGAATGTACAGTGCATGAGTATCATAGCTAGCGGCGGGATTAGAGCAAGATTTGAGCAGATTGTGGCAGAGGTACTAATTTCCTTAATGTATATAGTTGCTCACACAAAAACCAACTAAATACATTAATAATTATTAATTATTATTTTGAAATCGTGTGGAGGTCAACAGATTTAATACTATTGATGTGTAAGGTAAACAGCAAACTTGTGGATAATCTAAAATAATAAATTGACAATGACGAGAGCTCACTTTAGCATTTAATACTATTGATGAATTAGGATTACCACATAGTAGAACTACCTCTAACACTTCGGATCTTCTCAATCAGCTGTTCCCCAATGATGCTGCTTCCAGGTGAACTTAACGGGCTCCTAGTGCGGCTAATGCTTCCAGAAGCTCTAATTATAGCAACTTGATCACCTCCACTTTCCAGCCCAAGTGTCCATTTTCTAACTCTAGAATACTTTCTGTAGAAGGAAAGAAGGCACATCAAATTTACATATACTTCAAATTCATTAAACACAGTAGTTTCCAATAAAATTTTGCAATTCCAATTAATTAGAGATATTTGAATCTACAAATGTATGAGCAAAATGGCATGCCATTTTGACTAAAATGTTTAAACTAGAGTACATAATTCAGCATTATTGATGAATATAAATTATAGAAGTGTAGCGAGTGTACACTATACCAAATGCATGCAATTTTCATGATACATCTCTTGCGAGCAATTGGCCAAGATTTTTCCAACATTGGGTGTCCTTGAGAGAGGAGACGGCATCTATCATGTACTAGTTTGAAAAAGTTAAGAAGTGACGGCTAAGATTCAACAGCAGATGAGGAAGAGAGACTTGAGGCGGTTAAGTAAGATTAGGGTTTATAGAGTTGGGATCATTTTTATCTTTCATTAATAGTCAATGGGACATTTTGATCCTTTTCCCTAAAGATTACTAAAGAGTTATGATAAAATACATTGGGTGTCCCTGAGAGAGGAGAAGGAATCTATCATGTACTAGTTCGAAAAAGTTAAGAAGTGATGGCTAAGATTCAACAGCAGATGAGGAAGAGAGGCTTGAGGCGGTTAAATAAGATTAGGGTTTATATAGTTGGGGATCATTTTGGTCTTTTATAAAAAATATTTTGATCCATTTCTCTAAAAATTACTAAAGAGTTATAATAAAAATACAAGATAGAGTAGCTAACCAAGATGGCAAAGAGAGGGAGAGAATAATTCAAAGCAATTCATGCAATCATCATCGTTGATTTTAATCTAACAAGCTTTTTATAGAACAAGAGCAAACACATCCGTAAATAAAATAGCACAATATAATTGATAAACATTTCTTTATTTCATGATTATGTAAAATAAAGTAAATGAGTAAAAAATAAAAAATTACAGCATAATAAAAAAGAATATGCAATCCTGTAACAATTGGTATTCACGAACCATTTGTGAAAACTCGTTTGACAGAATAAAATGAATTTGACGCATAGCGTTTTTTTTTTCCTAACAAGATGAATAAAAAGATCTTAACTTTAATTTCACGTCTACAAGATAAAATTTTCTAAACATGAAAAATGATAAAGACAATAATTTTTTTACTATTACTTGGACTATATCCTAACTCTATATTATAGATATCAAGAGAGAGATGGATCCTTCTCCTCATAAGAGAAGATCATTCTCATATTTTTAATCTTTCATCCATAACTTTAGCCTTGAAACATAAATCACACATTTGATTATGGCATACAACATGAGATTTATAAATGGATCAAACTTCATAATTATTCATAATAATTTAAACATTGATTAATCATGTCAAACAAACAACGATGATCAGACCATATATAAAATATATATTAAAAGTATAGCTTTAACAATGTTAACCATAATATTTTGAGTGAATTCCAGGGAGAATTGATTACCCATAATCAACCATAAGAAGATTTTTCCTCTTCTTTTGCTCCAATCTGTCCTTCAGCATTGACATAACCTGCATTACTGATTCTGATGTAAAAAGACAAATAGCTCTAAAAAATGAAGAAAATTAATTTCATCAGATGATAAAGAAATTCAGCAACAAGAAATCATACTTGGATTCAAGTTCGAACATAAAAACAATTAAAAAATATACCATTGCACTGTCACAGTAATTGTTTGGAGGTGAGCAGAAACACCTCAGTAGGAAAACATTGACAAAACCAAAAATATTCATATGGACACCTGTTAGAACGACACCTAAATATTCATATGGACACCCAAAGTAGAAAGCATAGAACAGAAAGGCATGTCAATCCCTCCCCATTGTTAAACAAAGACAAATAAAGTCAATCCTTTGTTCAGTTCATCAAAGCACAAAATACAAAACACAAGACAGAAGGAATCCTACATTCATTTTTTAAGAGCCATCGTTACTACACTGGTCATCATCAAGTCGATCATGCATAAAATTTCAAGTTGATAAAAACCTCTATTAACTCGACAAGCTGTCATTGCTGATCAAAAGAATTATAAATATGATACTAACCATAGGATCAATCTTCCATCTACCTAAGATTAGACTTGCCTCTAATTGCAAAACTTTGATGAAATCGTGAAGCTAAAGACAAATTCAATTTAAGATAAATGTCCATTGATATAAAGGATTGATCCTACAAACACAATGGAGAAAAATGATTCATGTAGTTGACCTCACATAGTAGGATAAAAGCTTTATGTTGTTGTTATTGATGTCCAATGATATACCACTACTTTATAATTTTAATTCAGCATTTTAATTGACATCCAGGAATATTCCTGAAAATTTGCAAAAACAAAACATCCAACATGAAAATCGATGTCAATAAGGGAACAACAAGCATGGACCACTCCATGTGTGCATCATACTTGTTTGGGGCATTTGCTTACCTCCATATGCCATCCCCAAGAAAACCCAATCAAATTCGAAACTAACAAAGAGAGTTAAACACAAATTCGTAAGAAATAGGCAAAAAAAAACTTATATATATATATATATATCACCCATGCACCTAAACAAATCCTCTGGTTGCATTTAGAATTGCATAAACAAAACATAAGTCTTGATACATTGTACAAAAATTATCTTGATAGGGCACTAATCTCAAAGCAAAATCAAGTTGGAAACTTCCGAAATCAAAATCAGGAGCATCTGAACTCCGATTTCAGCAAACTTACAGTCGAACTGAGCATCTCGAAAATACGAACCCAACGACACCAAATTCGACCCAATCCAAGCCCAAATGGATCCAAATCAAGGATCCGAAGCGCTGTTGGAAAGTTCAAACCACAATTCGGACTACCAAACGGCTTCCAAACATAACAAACTTATAGTCGAATCGAGCGGCTCGACAAGACGAATCCAACGAGCCCAAGATCACTGAATTCCGACATCACTACGACATTCAAAAGTCCATTGAATGGTTCATGATCAAGGGATTCAAGATCGACCGTCAAACCACTCCCGACTAACCCTTGATCCTCCACCTATTTACGGGCCATGCCATTCTCAAAATCTATAAATAAAGCCCCCTCTCCTCTTGAAAAAGGACCCCTGAGCCTAAGGAAAAAAGAGAGAGATCGGAGATCGCTCTTGCTTCCTAGCCTTCTCGACCACCGCCGGAGTTTCGTCGGACTACCGCTGGAGTTCCGCCGGACCACCACCTGACGCCCTGTGCTCCACCGGACCACCGTCTAACGCCGTCACTCCGCCGGACCACCACCTGAAGCCCTGTGCTCCACCGAACCACCGTTTAACATCGTCACTCTGCCGGACCACCACTTGAAGCCCTGTGCTCCATCGGACCTAACGCCATCACTCCGCCGGACCACCACTTGAAGCCCTGTGCTCCATCGGACCTAACGCCGTCACTCCGCCGGACCACCACCCGACGCCCTGTGCTCCACCGGACTACCGCCTAACACCGTCGTTCAATTGAATCACTAACTGACGCTCTACGCTCCGCCAGTCCTTCACTTGAAGCTCTCATCTTTGTCAGGCCACCGTTGAAGACTCTCACATTTGCCAGACCTTCATTTAAGGCCCGAAGTTCTTCCAGATCATCATCTAAGGCTCGAAGTCCTGCCAAACCATTACCTGACATCCTGACTTCTATTGTACAATTGTTACTTGTAATCTGATCGCTCACATAAGTGAGTCAGCCCATTATAACCACTCAAGTTCTAGTGAAACCTTTTCAACTGGGCTAGGCCCCATGGTTTTTCCCCTTTTTAGGATTTTCCACGTAAAAAATCATGTGTTCTCTGTGTGTGAACTGGATATTCGTGCAACGCTAAGACGTAATATTCTAACTCTATCGCCGCGTATATTCTAGTCCGCAACAGTTTGGCGTCGTCTGTGGGAAACGATAATCCCACTATATTAAAAGCATCACCGCCATGGTCAACAGACGTATTAATCGCATTCTAGGAGCCTCCCGCTCCAATTCACATCAATCTCGAAATCAGTCCCTGAATCAAGGACGCCATGCATCTGTCTCTTTTCACCCAGGCGGTTGAAACCCTGCCGGAGAAGGAACTTCAAGACCATCCCTGGAAGATCGTATCAGAAAGATGAAGGACTCGCAAAATGAGATTCTTCAACTCCTACGAGAGACTCGAGGACCGGCACTAGCACCTCAAGAAGATATACTTCTTCCTCGAGACCCACCGGAATTTGAAGATGTTCTTCATGACGAAGTTCCCCTTCCAACCGCCAAGAATGCGCCCTCCAATACATCCAAAAAATGAGCTTGCTGACACAACAAGCTCTACACATCCTTCGCGGACAGGCCGCCGGAATCACATTCCTCCGGATGCCCCCAAAGACTTAGCTCGGCGGCACATCGATGAAATCCCCCGTAATGCCCTACGACATGAATTACGAAGACTAGTCCGAGAGGAGTTCCCCATTGGAAATATAAGACAATCTCTTCGTTAGAGAGATTTTCAGGAGTCATCACCCTTGACTGAAGCCATCCTTCAACACCCTATCCCAGCAAGGTTCAAACTGCCGAACATCGATTCATACGATGGGACATCTGACCCGTACGAACATATTGATCACTATAGAACCATAATGCACATCCAACAAGCCTCTGATGCGCTTTTATGCCAAGTCTTCCCAACTACCCTTAAAGGGCAAGCTCGAACATGGTTCTACTCACTCCCCGCCGGATCTATCCCAATGTTCATCAAATTAGCCAAAATATTTGTCGAACATTTTGTTGCCAATCGGAGGATGGTCAAAGACTCTTCCCACCTCTCAGGAATTTGCTAGAATGAAAATGAGTCCCTCAAGGAGTACTTTCAAAGATTTTGTACTGAGGCCTGGCAAATTCCAGGGGTATATCCTGAATTACTTAGAGGCATATTCCTCGGAGGGCTTCGTCCTGGTCCCTTCTACTCAGCACTCATGCGAGATACGATCCATTCATATGCGGACCTGATCCATCGTGTAGAAGCCCAAATCTCTGTCGACAAAGACATTAACGCTCACAGGAAGCAGTTTGAACAAACAACCGGGAAGTGAAAAAATACACCAGGAACGGAGAATCCAGCCTCACAGCAGAAGAAACAAGGGAACTATAATCTTCCCCCTAGGCCCTCACAGCCACGACGAGAGCCTCGCCAAGAGAAGGAGTACACACCGCTTAATGTATCCCGAGCAAATGTATTGACGGCCATCCGAGACCATGAGAGCGTAAAGTGGCCACAACCTTTGAAGCCCAATGTCGAAAATCAGGAGTAATATTGCCACTTCCGCCGAAGCCGTGGGCATACTACTGAAGCATGTAGACAGCTCGAGGAAGAAATTATTGTATCTCTCGTAAATACCGAAGCCGTGGGCATACTAAGAGGGAATAAATACCCCTCATTAAGACCCACTTGTAATAAGCGCAGGGATCGGTGACCCGTGCTACAAAGTCAAAAGGATCTTAATCAACAACAGGAGCTCCGTAGATGTTCTATTCTACTCCATATTTCTCAACATGGGCCTCGCTCGAGAGAAGCTCCAACCCGCTGCAGGCCCGCTATATGGATTTGATAATCGACATGTACGAGTGGAAGGTATGATAAGTCTTCCCATTGTGCTGGGAGAATTCCCCGGACAAGCCACACATTCCATCCAGTTTATTGTCGTGAAGTCGGAGTCAGCATATAATGTTATCTTTGGAAGGCCATTACAGTCAATTTTCGGGATCGTTGCTTCAATCCCACATTTCAGACTGAAATTTCTCACCCCATCAGGAACTGATGTAGTACGAGGAGATCAACAAGAGGCATAATCCTGCTATCTTTGACAGGCTCAACCACGCCCATCAATTACCTTAAGCATCGAAAACTTTGATCTACGAAACGAGGACATTCCTCAGAAGGCCTCCCCCATTGAAGATCTTGCATGTGTCTCCCTGTTCGATGAACATCCTTCAAGGACAATACAGATCGGATCATTACTCTTGGAGGAAGAGAAGACAATATATAGAATTCTTACGAAGAAATGAAGACATCTTTGTCTGGAGTCCGGCAGACATGCCCGGAATCAACCTTGAAGTAATTGTACACTCCCTCAATGCAAACCCAACATGCAAACCGGTTATTCAAAAAAAAAAAAAGCGAGGTTTTGCACCGAAGCGCCAACAAGCTATTGAGAAAGGAGTCGACAAGCTCCTAGAGGCTGGATTCATACGAGAAGTGCACTATCCCACCTGGCTGGCAAATGTAGTAATGGTAAAAAAGACTAATGGAGCTTGGAGGATGTGTGTAGATTACACAGATCTCAATAAAGCCTGTCCGAAAGACTGCTTTCCGCTCCCTCGTATCGACCAACTTGTTGATGCCACTTCCGGACATCAAATGCTGAGCTTCATGGATGCCTACTCAGGCTACAATCAAATAAGAATGAATTCCGTAGACGAGGAGGCAACCGCCTTTCAAACAGACAGAGGAATGTACTGCTATCATGTTATGCCCTTT